ACCTTGGTAAACTTTGTTTTGATACCAGCCAAGGTAGATGTACTATGACCTCTGTGATTTGGTTTAGTGATCTTCATTGTTATTTTGACCTTCAATGTGTCCTTTTAACTTGACCTAAGTAGTCTATTTTCTCACCTCTTAACTCTTTATTAATTTCACATATACACATTCCTATGACAAGTCCATATGTGATGGGTCAGATTGTTCGAAATGTTTGAAGAGAGAAAGAACGAACATGTTTGCACGATAATACGAGCTCATTTAATTTCATGGATACTCATCAACTGCATACATCCTAAATAAAATCAAATTATAAGTTTCAAAAAAGTTTTGGGACATACTTTTTCATAATTACTTGGAGTTATAGATAGAAGGAAGAAAAGTGTTATCGAGTGCAATCGTCAGACATTTAATTGACATAGGACACACAGTAGAAATTAGCCAAGCCTTCAAAATAATCAATACACAAAGAAACTCATGGCTACTTCGCTTCGCAGAAGCCATTGCTATCAAGAGATTTCGACCAGACCTATGTATACACTACCCTGGTAACCCTAATTCTATTTAATTTAATTTTGTTTTGCCTTTTTGTCAGTATGCCTGTATGTTTGTCTTATTACGTAACATTCTATTCAATTCTGACCTTCAAGTTTCTAAATCTACTTAATTGTTTGTCTGTTACTTCACTATTCGCCCCCACCCTCTTAAACTCTCCGCCACAAGATGTGTAAATTTACTCTGTTCTCTGACCCTGACCCTGTAATATACCTCTAACCAATCTGTGTTGTTTTCCAATAGAAATCTGAACTCTAACCCCTCTTATCTAATTCCACTATACATATCATTAGTTGTTTTTGACACCGAATAATCTGTCTACCTACATCAAATTCTGGAATTATGTTCCTTATACGTTCTATCTATAACTTCAAGTCATTATGAAAAAGTATGTTCCAAAACTTTTTTGAAACTTATAATTTGATTTTATTTAGGATGTATGCAGTTGATGAGTACTCATGAAATATAAAACGAGCTCGTATTATCCTGCAAACATGTTCGTTCATTCTTTCTTCAAACGAATAAAGGGAACCGGTTGTATGAAATGTTCGAAATGTGTGTTGCGCGCAAATACAACATTACACACACGATTCAGACAGACAAATTACGTCTTCCTTCTTATTGCTTTATCTGAATATAAAAACACTAATAACAAAAAAAAAACGCTACTTAGTGTATGTAGACTTACATCATCATCCGCCGCTTTATTCATCGGTAATGATACAACATTCCTAACGACTTGATTAACACCACCACCACTACCACCAATCTGTGATTTGATTGTCAATTTCTGTGTTACAATTGAACCGGCGGTCTCAGTTGAAATCGGCACGGGGATACGTGATTTATGACTACTTGGCATGATGACGGCATTATTATTATTATTATTCAATCGTGCTTGTTTAGAATCTGCGAGTGAAGCATTCGATAATGTTGAATTTGATGTCGCTGCTGCTGTTGTGGTTGCGGTTGCTGTTGTTGGTGACGTCGTCGTTCCACTACTATTGCTACTACTAGTACTGACAGGTTTATTCGATTTCGAAGGAATAAAAAATGGATTTGTCTTATTCAACAATGATTGAGGGTATAAAGAAGATTCAACACTTGGTAATCCATTATGCAATAGGAGATTACTATCCACACAATGCTGAGGATGGTGCTGATGGTGATGATCACGACTTGATAATGTTGAAGAAGACGATTTATTGCCAGCAAGTGTTAAATCACCTGAAGATTCAGATAATCCGCCTCCAGCAGTACCTGTACCTCCCGCTCCTCCTCCACTAGAGGATGATGGTGGCGGTGCTGCTGGACCATCGATAACACCGCATATTGATGAAGATGATGATGAGGTACTTTCATCCATAAATTTTAATTCACTTGATGTGCTATTTCGGTTATCACTGGTATTATTATTATTATTACAATTATCGATTATCGGTAAATCTATTTCATTTGATGACAGTGTTGCATGAGAGGGTATTTTCACGGAATCTTTTTTAAGCAATAATCCACAATGCTGGTGTTGATTATTGTTACTATTATTTTTATTATTGCTGTTAGTATTATTGGAACAATTGATTTCTGTTTCCATGCTAATAAAAAAAGATAATGACAACATAATAATAATATCTTTAATAATAGCAATAATTACATAATAATAATAACCCCGCCTAGTTAACGGGCTCGCTAGTTTTCGAGCTGGTGCCAAGGCCAGGTAAAGAGGGAGGGGGGTTGTGCTTGGGGCTAGCAACCCCACACCACTAAATCTATCAAACCGCTAGAGAAACTTCAACGCACAGAAAAAAAACATTAAAAATACGAAAACTTCAAATAACAACAATCTGATTCGTCGCTGACACAGCGGGCTGGTGAAAGCCAACCTGTCAGAAAGCCAGTCAACCAGCCGATGTGTCTTCTCTCCCTGGATGAAAGCAAGAGTAAGAATGCGGGAGTGGAATGTCCGTACAATGTACGAGGCTGGCTGGTAAGACTGCCCAGGTAGGTAGCCAAAGAGATGTGAAGATATGACTTAGAAGTATTGGGTATCTCTGAGAAAGCAGTTGGAATGGTTGTGGACTGACAACATTGTCAACGGAAGAGTCAATAATCTACTACGGTCTGGTAACCCAGACGACAACTACGAACACACTGAAGTAGTGAGTAAATATCATGATGTCACCAGTGACAGTCAAAGCTCTAATGCATTGGGAACCAATTTCATCCAGGCCATGACTAGGCATACGTAATACATGTCCTACCCATCTCTCAGTCGATGTAACTTCACAGCCTCGTTGATTGATTTCCCTTCCTCTTCACCTAGCACTCGACTGATGCCCAACCTCAATATTGCTTATCCTATTATACCACTTTACACGGGAGATAGAACGCAGCCACCTATATATGATCAAAGACAGCTAGCCAGCCTTATCATGTTTTCCACTCTTAATGGCCAAGTCTCACTCACAGCCAGCCATAAAGGAGGACGGAGCGGACTGGTGAGCAGTGCATCCACCCTTTGGTCGACAGCCGGATATCATGTCTACGCCAGAGATGGAGTAAACTGGCATATACGAAACTGGCCTTCTGTATCCGTGCTGAGATTTCGTCAGCGATCAACCCCTTTGCGGCTGGCTGATGCAACTTCCCAAATAAGTGAAGTGGTCAACGTGCTCTACGACTTCATTCACTATTTCTAAACTAGGAGTCAGTGTAGTTCAGTCTTGTAACATCATCTTACATTTGGTGGGAGCGAATCGCATACCAAACATTCGAAGATTGCTGCTCAGCTCAAGGTATCCAGAAGACTGCTTCATTTTGTCAGCGTCTTCACCTCACCTAGGAGGGGGGACTATATCATCAACAAGATTATCCCCTGGTAACAAGTATAAAACTTGGGCACTGTGTAATGGTAGAGTAGGCTTGATGACCGGTAAATCGACGCACACACACACACACAACCACTTCAATTCTTAGCCTGGATATGGTTGAGTATTATAAGCAACACCATAGTACAACAGTCAGAAAAAACCAAAAAACACAAAAACGCAACAGAATACTAAAAATAACTAACTGATGCGTTTTTGTCACAAATCAATAGCATTGTCATTGTATATTCACTGAATAAATAACCATAATCACAATGACAATAATAATAAATATTATTATTAGTAGTATATGACCTTTCTACTACTATTATGATTATTAGTATATCGAGTTCATCATATAATTTAATATAAAAATGCCAACAAATACCTGAATATATATACAATAACTAATTGTTGTTGAGTACAAGAACAAACAAAATTATACTGCCTAAAAAGTTTACAACAGAAAACCAAAAAATAATAAAAAATTTATTGCACTTAGTAGGCCATTGTCTGTCTGGATTCAACATAGAACTTGGCACCGAAGTGCAGCAGTTCGAGTTGCCACGTTCCAAATAGCACACAAAGCTAGACAAGAAAATGAGTGAAGAGAATCAATAGAGTTTTGACAAGTATAAGAGTGAAACAGAATGAGTAATGGTAGAAAGGAGTATGAAGGTTAAAGAGACTGAATACATCTGCGTAAGCCATTGACAACGATTTTGAGCCATGTCACCTATTGTCTCCACCCATTGATTCTTAGAGTCCCGAGGGCGGGCCCCAACCCGGAAGTCTGCATCTCCCTACCTGACTCAGTTTAACTGTCAAGGATTTCATGGATTGATTCCATGTTTTTGTTTGGCCACCACTTACTCTTTTCCAACCTGCACCTACCTATATCAGCTAGTAATGCCCGTCGGGGAAGGCGATAGTTAGGCATCCGCAGCACGTGGCCTAACCATCTCAATCTATGTAACTTCATAGCCTCTTCGAGTGATTTTCCCTCTTTGCCCAACACTCTACGCCTAACGTCAACATTACTTACCTTATTATGCCACCTAACGTGAGAAAGAGATCGTAGACATCTATGATCAAAAAGCCCACTTCACCTATAAATAGAGAGGGATCTCGCCAAAAAGTTTAGTTTGGACTAACTGTTGATTAAATCTCAGCATGGATGCGAAATCCAGCTGTGTCGATTAAAAGACACACGTATTCAGCAGGATTTGTTCTGTTCTCCTTTATGGCTGTGAGACATAACCATTGGAAGTTGAAGATATGATGAGACTAGCTGTCTTTGACCATAGATGTTTGCATTCTACCTCTCATGCTGAGTGGGGTAATATGGTGGGTAATATTAAAATAAAGCCTTAGGTAATGAAGGTAAGTTGATCAATGAGGTCATAAAGCCGAACCAGTTGACTGAATAACTGGCTGGTTTCAATGTAGAACTTTGCACAAATGTGCAGCAGTTCGAGTTGTCACACTACCTCCATGTAGCACACAAAGCAAGACAGGAGAGTAAAGAAACATTCAAACGAGAGATAATAAACAGAGAATAGAGGCAAAAAGAATGGTGTAATGGAAGAACAATAGAATTTTATTGAGTCGATCAAGATGGTTAGAATGTGTTGCGCATGCGAAGCCATCGCCTTCCTTGACAGGTACTGTCAGCTGACATAGGATTAAATTGGGAAATAGTCAAGAGTGGTCAATTCGGAAACTCTCGTCATTTCATGAAGTCCTTGACAGTTAGTTTTAGCCACGTGTAGGGGTGCAGACTGACTGATTGGGACTCCCGAAACCCTAAGATCTAACAGCGGGAAATGACTGGTAATGTGGTTCAATATTGTTCTCAAAGATATCACACTAAACATTCATGTTGAAATTCCGTCAGGAACTACTCAGTCCGAATAGATACGATTTCCCAGACAAGTGAAATGATTGATACATCCGACGATTTCATTTGCTCTCCTTAAACTAGCAGTTGTTGCAGACTAATCCTGTAGCATCATCTTACATTCGACGTGAGAAATCACGACGTGCCGGGTATACTTGTATTTTGGGTCAGGATGCTCGGGAAACTGCATTTTGTCAGTGTTTTGGCCTAATAGGAATACATTGTCTGAGTAGCCCAAATTAACTAGGTCCTTCTTTGTTCACAAGTTGGTCCCTGAAACGCCGAAATTAGTCAGGGACTTTACATCGATACAGTCATGATGATGACGGCAACACTAAACATCCTTGGTTATCGTCAATTCCAAAGATAAATCCAAAACTCTGTGGTCCTCAAAGATTCTCCAGGTGGTGATTGAAAGTGTGTTTGGTTATTAAATAGTTAGAGACAATCGGCAGGAAGCCTTGGACCTTATTCGTCAGCAATCGTTAGCAAGGAGTATCTGCAACCACCTTGAAGGAATATTCATGTTCCTTTTGAGATTCAGACCCGTGTCGCCCAGTGCCACAGTCAGTCAGAAACTTTACTAGTGAGCTATTTAGGGCTTGCGATTGACCTGTTGTAGGACACTAATTCCTGTCATGTGCCTAGTCCTTTGTTTTCTGTAGATATGTCCAGTGCTTCCTACTGATTACCTCCAACCATTTGTTGACAACATTTTTAAATGCACCATGATGGCAAGCCACCTAGATTGGTGGTAGACACATTGCAAACTTGACTGATAGAATTTAGTCTGCAAGAAACAAAGAACTAGACACAATACACTAGTTCGTGTCCGATCAAAGTATGTTTGATCGATGTGAATAGTCAGGAGTCACTCACAATTGAACTAAAATATTTTGGCTTCCGCTAACGAAGTCGTGGTGAATTCCACACCCCCAAACAATCTCGTTTCCAAGATGACGAATTAAATTTCAAGTATAAAGAGAATAGCTTGTTCTCTTGGATGTCAGAAAACGCATGTCTCAGTATGATAGGGTGTGGAATTGGTCGTGAACCGAACTGTATCAGTTCGACAATGATGAAATTACTGAAATGTCAAGAGTAGTGGATAACAAGGAGGTGAACATGCATGCTGATATCGCTGCGCGGTGAAATCAACTTTCAGCCTTGTTTTTTATCAGTTTTTTCTTCCTTTGTTAAGTCCTCAGTAGAATATATAGAGCAACAAAATTCAAGCTTCAAAGAGTCATTGGTAGTAGAATGTTGTGCTTTTGTGTGGTTCAGTGGTTAGTTTCACTCTTGAACTTTCTAAGTCTTAGGTGACTATTTGAGTTCGAGTAAAGTGCCTTAACTAGTATAATGTATATCTTCAACACTCTCTCTCTATAGCCCAAATAGTAATTACGCTAGCACCTCTCGCTGCTCGACAGAGTGAAATCCCACTTTTAGACAAAGAAATATAACCAGTGTTCAATGTGGATGAATACAGAGATAAAAAGATTAGTAAAGGGTCAGTGAATGCGCTTATTCATTCCAAAAGCTACCGAGTGGTGATGATTATATGAACAATGCATTCTCGTTTGACTTTTCCTAGTTTATTTTTTCATGACCTCTATTTTCATGGGGTTATTGACCCTCTAGGATTTTAGACGACATAGCTGAACAACCCATTATTTGTATTCTCTTTCTTATAAACTAGGATGACCAACTGGCTGGCTGGCTGGATTCAACATAGAACTTGCCACCAAAGTGAAGCAGTTCGAGTTGCCACGTTCCAAATAACACACAAAGGTGGTAGACAAGAAGATGAGTGAAGAGAATCAATAGA